TCTGGTCTCTCTCTGGTCTCTCTCTGCTCTCTCTCTGGTCCCTCTCTGGTCCCTCTCTGGTCCCTCTCTGGTCCCTCTCTGGTCTCTCTGGTCTCTCTCTCTGGTCTCTCTCTGGTCCTCTCTGGTCTCTCTGGTCTCTCTCTCTGGTCTCTCTCTGCTCTCTCTCTGGTCTCTCTCTGGTCTCTCTGGTCTCTCTCTGGTCTCTCTCTGCTCTCTCTCTGGTCCCTCTCTGGTCCCTCTCTGGTCTCTCTGGTCTCTCTCTCTGGTCTCTCTCTGGTCTCTCTGGTCCCTCTCTGGTCTCTCTCTCTGGTCTCTCTCTGGTCTCTCTGGTCTCTCTCTCTGGTCTCTCTCTGCTCTCTCTCTGGTCTCTCTGGTCTCTCTCTGGTCTCTCTCTGGTCTCTCTCTGGTCCCTCTCTGGTCCCTCTCTGGTCTCTCTCTGGTCTCTCTCTGGTCTCTCTGGTCCCTCTCTGGTCCCTCTCTGGTCCCTCTCTGGTCTCTCTGGTCTCTCTCTCTGGTCTCTCTCTGGTCTCTCTGGTCCCTCTCTGGTCTCTCTGGTCTCTCTCTCTGGTCTCTCTCTGGTCTCTCTGGTCTCTCTCTCTGGTCTCTCTCTGCTCTCTCTCTGGTCTCTCTCTGGTCTCTCTTGTCTCTCTCTGGTCTCTCTCTGGTCTCTCTCTGGTCCCTCTCTGGTCCCTCTCTGGTCTCTCTCTGGTCTCTCTCTGGTCTCTCTGGTCCCTCTCTGGTCCCTCTCTGGTCCCTCTCTGGTCTCTCTGGTCTCTCTCTGGTCTCTCTCTGGTCTCTCTGGTCCCTCTCTGGTCCCTCTCTGGTCTGTCTCTGGTCTCTCTCTCTGGTCTCTGCTGACAGCTCTCTGAGACACACAGCTGCAGATATATTTGAGTAATGCCTGAGCTCATTAGCCTCAACATAATCCAATCATGCTCCTCATTCAGAAGTTCTCGGTCTCAGTGGATGACACACGCTGTCAGGGGCCCTGCTGGCTGTGAGGGGCCCGCCTGGCCGACTGTCCCGCTGAGAGCCAGTGCCAGAGATCCACTTAACAGCTGCTAATGGACGTGTCCTGCTCAGAGGCACAAAGACAGCTCGTGATCGTGACAGAAGTGAGAATGTGTGAGTCTGGGCTCTGGGTCTTATTCATAGACTATAGAGTCCATCTGTATACAGTCTGTGTTAGCATTAGCATCTGTATACAGTCTGTGTTAGCATTAGCATCTGTATACAGTCTTTGTTAGCATTAGCAACTGTATACAGTCTTTGTTAGCATTAGCATCTGCATACAGTCTGTGTTAGCATTAGCAACTGTATACAGTCTTTGTTAGCATTAGCAACTGTATACAGTCTTTGTTAGCATTAGCATCTGCATACAGTCTGTGTTAGCATTAGCAACAGTATACAGTCTTTGTTAGCATTAGCATCTGCATACGGTCTGTGTTAGCAATAGCATCTGTATACAGTCTTTGTTAGCATTAGCATCTACATATGGTCTGTGTTAGCATTAGCATCCGTATACGGTCTGCGTTAGCATTAGCATCAATATACGGTCTGTGTTAGCATAAGCATCCATATACAGTCTGTGTTAGCATTAGCATCTGTATACAGTCTGTGTTAGCATTAGCATCTGTATACAGTCTTTGTTAGCATTAGCAACTGTATACAGTCTTTGTTAGCATTAGCATCTGCATACAGTCTGTGTTAGCATTAGCAACTGTATACAGTCTTTGTTAGCATTAGCAACTGTATACAGTCTTTGTTAGCATTAGCATCTGCATACAGTCTGTGTTAGCATTAGCAACAGTATACAGTCTTTGTTAGCATTAGCATCTGCATACGGTCTGTGTTAGCAATAGCATCTGTATACAGTCTTTGTTAGCATTAGCATCTACATATGGTCTGTGTTAGCATTAGCATCCGTATACGGTCTGCGTTAGCATAAGCATCCATATACAGTCTGTGTTAGCATTAGCATCTGTATACAGTCTGTGTTAGCATTAGCATCTGTGGACCCTGTGGAGTAGAGCCCTGCACGGGCCTATTATCTGGGCCCGAGCCCGGCCCTGGCCCGAGGGGGTGGCGCCCCAGCCCGGCCCGGCCCGATATGGTTTCTGAATTTTCAGGCCCGAAACCCGCATCAAGCCCGCCTTTTTTTTTTTTTTTGTAACCTCCCATAACAATGTTTTAGCGTAGTATATAGTGCCGCGCACTGATATGAACGCAGACTTAGCTAGAGGGCGGAGTTATACATGGTAGTGATGTGTTGCAATGAGTTCTGTGTGTGCGGAGTGGTGCAGAGTGAACGGCCGCATCTGTATGATACACAGCTGTATGATACACAGCTGTATGATACACAGCTGTATGATGCCCCCGATGCTGCAACACATCTGCACATTACATAAGTAATGCTATGTGCCGTCAATGACAACACTACACAGAACAACAAACACTACAGCGTGATAGAACGCTATATTCAGTGGGTGCGCTCGTAAATCTATTCTGCCGCTCTGAAAATGAAGAGCCCGAGCCCGGCCCGTGTCCGAGGTCATTATGCGGTCATCGGCCCGAAGCCCGGCCCTCGGGCTGTCGGGCCGTCGGGGCCCTCGGGCCAAGGGCTCAAGTGCAGGGCTCTACTGTGGAGGTCCTGTGGAGGTCCTGTGGAGGTCCCGTGGAGGTCCCGTGAAGGTCCCATGGGCGTCAGATGGCCCGGTGCCCAGTCGGGTCTGTGTTTATTTGAGCTGCTGGTTCAGTCGGCTCCGAGACGTCATCAATGTATCATCACAGACATCACACCAGCGCCTTCTGAAATAACATGTGTTTGAACTGGACCTACCATGTGTCAGAGACCGGAGAGAGACCGGAGAGAGACCAGAGAGAGACCAAAGAGAGACCAGAGAGAGACCAGAGAGAGACCAAAGAGAGACCAAAGAGAGACCAAAGAGAGACCGGAGAGAGACCAGAGAGAGACCAAAGAGAGACCAGAGAGAGACCAGAGAGAGACCAAAGAGAGACCAAAGAGAGACCAAAGAGAGACCGGAGAGAGACCAAAGAGAGACCAGAGAGAGACCAAAGAGAGACCAAAGAGAGACCAAAGAGAGACCAAAGAGAGACCAAAGAGAGACCAAAGAGAGACCAAAGAGAGACCAGAGAGAGACCAGAGGGAGGACATGTCTCTCTCTAACATTTAGAATCTGCTCTGACCTGAAACAGACTCGTTCTGTTCTCGTTCCGTCTCCGTTTCTTGGACTCGACCTAAAGTCCAGCGACAGAATGCTTTGATTTCTCACCCATTTGTTAGATTAGAATCCAAAGCAATAAGAAGTGTGTGTGTGTGTGTCTGTGTCTGTGTGTGTGTGTGTCTGTATGTGTGTGTGTGTGTCTGTGTGTGTGTGTCTGTGTGTGTCTGTATGTGTGTCTGTGTGTGTGTGTCAGTGTGTGACTGTGTGTGTCTGTGTGTGTGTCTGTCTGTGTGTGTCTGTGTGTGTTTATGTCCGTATGTGTGTCTGTGTGTGTGAGTCTGTGTCTGTCTGTGTGTGTCTGTGTCTGTGTGTGTGTGTCTGTCTGTGTGTGTGTGTCTGTATGTGTGTCTGTGTGTGTGTGTCTGTGTCTGTCTGTGTGTGTGTGTGTCTGTGTGTGTGTGTCTGTCTGCGTGTGTGTGTCTGTGTGTGTGTGTCTGTGTGTGTTAGCATTCCACAGACGTCCCGAACACTCCCGCTCGCCTCATTTGTGTAATTTTCTCCCATGTAACGTTAGTGTCGCACACAAACCTATTAGCTTCCATTTGTGTTGCATTACGGAGATAATTTATGCATTAAAATGTCTGCTTCTGCCACAAGGACAGATCCGTCAGAGCTCTGTGTTTAGCACCGGGAAAACTGTGGCTTTTATGTTTTTGATTCAATTTATCTGTGTCTCGCCCAAAATCACAACAACAGCAGTCGTCAGAGACCCAGGACTGAGACTGTAGACCCAGGACTGAGACTGTAGACCCAGGACTGAGGCCGTAGACCCAGGACTGAGGGCGTAGACCCAGGACTGAGGCCGTAGACCCAGGACGGAGGCCGTAGACCCAGGACGGAGGCCGTAGACCCAGGACTGAGGCCGTAGACCCAGGACTGAGGCCGTAGACCCAGGACTGAGGCCGTAGACCCAGGACTGAGGCCGTAGACCCAGGACTGAGGCCGTAGACCCAGGACTGAGGCCGTAGACCCAGGACTGAGGCTGTAGACCCAGGACTGAGGCTGTAGACCTAGGACTGAGGCTGTAGACCCAGGACTGAGGCTGTAGATACAGGACTGAGGCTGTAGACCCAGGACTGAGGCTGTAGACCCAGGACTGAGGCTGTAGACCCAGGACTGAGGCTGTAGACCCAGGACTGAGGCTGTAGACCCAGGACTGAGGCTGTAGACCCAGGACTGAGGCTGTAGACCCAGGACTGAGGCTGTAGACCCAAGACTGAGGCTGTAGACCCAGGACTGAGGCTGTAGACCCAGGACTGAGACTGTAGACCCAGGACTGAGGCTGTAGACCCAGGACTGAACCCAGGACTGAGGCTGTAGACCCAGGACTGAGGCTGTAGACCCAGGACTGAGGCTGTAGACCTAGGACTGAGGCTGTAGATACAGGACTGAGGCTGTAGACCCAGGACTGAGGCTGTAGACCCAGGACTGAGGCTGTAGACCCAGGACTGAGGCTGTAGACCCAGGACTGAGGCTGTAGACCCAGGACTGAGGCTGTAGACCCAGGACTGAGGCTGTAGACCCAGGACTGAGACTGTAGACCCAGGACTGAGGCTGTAGACCCAGGACTGAGGCTGTAGACCCAGGACTGAACCCAGGACTGAGGCTGTAGACCCAGGACTGAACCCAGGACTGAGGCTGTAGACCCAGGACTGAACCCAGGACTGAGGCTGTAGACCCAGGACTGAACCCAGGACTGAGGCTGTAGACCCAGGACTGAGGCTTTTCACAATAAATTGTGAAAAGAAAAACAACATGACTGTGATGTCTGTGGATGGATGTGACTCCCCATCGTCTGCTGCAGAGAGAGACCCAGGCAGGGGCCAACGGAGACCCAGGCAGGGGCCAACAGAGACCCAGGCAGGGGCCAACAGAGACCCAGGCAGGGGCCAACAGAGACCCAGGCAGGGGCCAACGGAGACCCAGGCAGGGGCCAACAGAGACCCAGGCAGGGGCCAACAGAGACCCAGGCAGGGGCCAACGGAGACCCAGGCAGGGGCCAACGAAGACCCAGGCAGGGGCCAACAGAGACCCAGGCAGGGGCCAACAGAGACCCAGGCAGGGGCCAACGGAGACCCAGGCAGGGGCCAACAGAGACCCAGGCAGGGGCCAACAGAGACCCAGGCAGGGGCCAACGAAGACCCAGGCAGGGGCCAACGGAGACCCAGGCAGGGGCCAACGGAGACCCAGGCAGGGGCCAACAGAGACCCAGGCAGGGGCCAACGAAGACCCAGGCAGGGGCCAACGGAGACCCAGGCAGACGGATGGAATGGTCTTTATGTGTAAGGGAATGTATGTGTGTGATATAATACTGTGGATGAGTACAGACCAGAGAGAGAACAGAGAGAGACCAGAGAGAGAGACCAGAGAGAGACCAGAGAGAGACCAGAGAGAGACCAGAGAGAGAGACCAGAGAGAGACCAGAGAGAGACCAGAGAGAGACCAGAGAGAGAGACCAGAGAGAGACCAGAGAGAGAGACCAGAGAGAGACCAGAGAGAGACCAGAGAGAGAGACCAGAGAGAGACCAGAGAGAGAGACCAGAGAGAGACCAGAGAGAGACCAGAGAGAGAGACCAGAGAGAGAGACCAGAGAGAGACCAGAGAGAGGCAAGGCAAGGCAAGGCAACTTTATTTGTATAGCACAATTCATACACAAGGCAACTCAAAGTGCTGAACAAGAAAGCATTAAAATCATAAATAATCACAGAACATTAAATAGAAAGATAAAAATATAAAATCCCTCAGTTGTATGCACAGCTAAACAGAACTGTCTTTAACCTGGTTTTAAACATTGTCAGAGAGGAGGCCTGTCTCAAATCTTCAGGAAGATTGTTCCAGATTTTAGCAGCATGAATCTGAAAAGCAGCCTCCCCATGTTTAGTTCTGACTCTGGGCACTAACAGGAGTCCAGTCCCTGTGCTCCTCAGAGTCCGGGCTGGTTCATATGGGACTAACATCTCACTAATATATTTTGGTGCGAGGCCATGGAGAGATTTGTACACAAGCAGAGCTGTTTTAAAGTCTATTCTCTGAGCCACAGGAAGCCAGTGCAGAGACCTGAGGACTGGACTAATGTGGTCGTACTTCCTGGTTCTAGTCTGGACTAATGTGGTTGTACTTCCTGGTTCGAGTCAGGACTCGAGCTGCTGCATTTTGGATGTACTGCAGCTGTTTTACAGCCTGTTTGGACAGACCTGTGAGCAGGCCATTGCAGTAGTCTAACCTACTGGAGACAAATGCATGGATAAGAATCTCCAAGTCTGCTTTAGACACTATGTTTTTGATCCTGGCAATGTTTTTTAGATGGTAAAAAGCTGCTGATGTTACTGATTTGATGTGGCTATTAAAATTTAAGTCTGAGTCCAGTATTACCCCTAGATTTCTGACCTTGTTTGAAGGTTTTAGGGAGAGAGACTGTAGATGACAGATGACGCTCTCTCTTTGTTTCTGGGGACCAAAGACAATCATTTCAGTTTTGTCTGCGTTTAGCTGAAGGAAGTTGTTTTGCATCCACTCACTGATCTGTTGGATACAGTGAAGGAGTGAGTCCACTGGTCCATGTTCCAGCAGTGGGGCGGCTGCGGCTGTAAAGTGCCAAACTGCCGTTGTGTCCTTAGGCAAGACACTTCACCCCCATTGCCTAGAATGAGTCTGGTGTGTGTATGAATGGTTGGTGGTGGTCGGAGGGGCCGATGGCGCATACTGGTTGCCTCGCTTCTGTCAGTGTGCCCCAGGGCAGCTGTGGCTACAGTAGTAGTTTATCACTACCGTGTATGGAGTGAATGAATAATTGACACATGTGAAGCGTCTTTGAGTGTCCAAAAAAGCGCTATATAAAACCGATGCATCATCATCATGTTCCCCTGCAGTCAGTGAGACATAGATCTGAGTGTCGTCTGCATAGTTGTGATAGGACACTATTGCCGTTTTTCCACGGTCCGAGTACGGTACTTTTGACTCTACACGGCGCGCCATGGCCCAGTTCGCGTGTTTTTCCATCAAAAAAAGTACCCCCAGTATGTCCTCAGCGTTGTCAGACCACGTCATTTACGTAACTAGTACTGGTGCGGTGCATGAATTTATTATAATACCAGAGCAAGTGTTTAATAGAAAACTCAGCACAGCACGAGTAGTTTTTGAAAATGCTTTTGTCTTAAAAGAATGACTCAGAAACTGTGAAGTCAATGGTGCTGACTGACAGAGTTGCCAGGTCCGCGGTTTTCCCGCACAATTGGGCTACTTTAAATTGGCCGTTGCGGGAAAAAATCTTGTGCTGCGGGTTGCGGTTTTCTTGGGCTGATTTTAAACTGTCCGCGGCCGCAACTTTATCTGTCATTTTATCTATTTTTCCCAATCAGATTCGTCACATTCAAAGCTCAGCACTGTCCCTCACCCCTCACCCCCCTTCCCCACCCCCACCCCCACCCTCCCCGTATCTCTCGCTCTCTCTCACTCACTCACACGCAAGCCTTTGAGTGGTGCCGCGGCACGCCCCCCTACGCAAGACAGAGGCCGCACGTGCAGCGGCAAAGAAGCCAGTCAGTCAGCTATCAAGACCGTCATTTTGGTCATTTTAGGCACGCGGAAAAAAGAAGCTAACAGTGCGATGTCAGGTAAATGGGGGAAGTACCAAAAACGATATAGGAAGGAATGGGAGTCAGAAAGGGGCATAAAAGAGTGGATACGCAGTGTCCCAAATGATGACAGAAAGGCTTTCTGCAAGTTCTGTAAGAGTGAAATGCGAGCACATCACAACAAGAGCTGCAGCAGAACTGGATAAGAGGAAGAGTGAAAATGTAAGATAATTAACTAATCTAGGTAGGTACTAGGTAATGAAACACACACTCTTTTAAACAAACTTTTGACTGACACCTATGTCTTTTTGTGTCAATACAGCAGCTGATGAAAGGAGAATAAACCAGCCAATGTTTGGCAAACAGAATGTTTATTTGATAAATAAATTTAAATTGAACTGAAATTAATTATTGGGCTAGTTTTCATACTTTTTGGTCGAGTTTTGAGAGGTCATTGGGCTGGAAATTTTTCTTGGACCTGGCAACCCTGGCTCTGTACAATCTGAATGGACCTGTAGCAACAGCAGCCTGTGTAGCAGAGGAGGAGGGCTGCATGTCCGAGGATACTGCTAGGCTATAGCTAATGCTAGCGCTAGTTCGAGACTCTGCTCACTCACTAACCCTGGATTCCAAAGCTACTACTGTACTACACTTAACACATCTATCACTGCCCTCAGAGGAGGATCCGGGGTTTAAACTCGTCATATGGCAACTCGAGCAGTAAAGGACCGAGGGAGAGACAGCTGCAGCCATAGGGGTAGCGAGTTAGCGGCTAAGCTAGGCTAGACTAGTCCGGACTCGGGTCCAGACTACAGCAGACTCCGAGACCAGACAAACAATCGATACCCAAACCTCAGCTACAATAATAATAAATGAATGAAACACAGTCTTGGGATACAATCACAGATTTATTGAAAACAAAAGTAAAGTGAAAAACTAACAGTTTACAAAGTCGTATGTACGTATGTCAGAGACCAGGTCCAGACCAGGTCCAGGCCAGGTCCAGGCCAGGTCCAGATGAGAATACTCCGGTCACTCATTACTCGTTGGTAATCTCCACACTTATGGGAAGAGATTCTCATACAAATATACACACAACAACTTAAATACAAGCACAAAACAGAATGACAACACGTGAATACTGCAGATAATACGAGATAAAGCACAGTAGCACAGGGAGAACGTTAGCTTAGCTGCTATCGATAGCTAAATGAAGCTAAATGTAGCTAGCTCACTGTGTACAACAGACAATCGAGCATTTACACAGTAAATACATTTCAGTGAGAGCTTTAGGGGGTTCGTAGCTAACCAGTTATTTCAGGATTACCACAGACTAGTCACAAATCCAGAGCTGGGTGATCTCCCTGAAAACTGTGTTGAGCCTCGAGCTGCCTTTGAATTCTTTCTTTGGCCTGAAGAGAGGAACGTGTGGACCTCTTCCACCGACCAGGACTTTTGGTGCTTTCTGTGCAGTGTTGCCAACTCCTCAGTAAGGAAAGTAGCTATTGGCTGTCCCAAAAGTCGCTAGAAGTCGCTAAATGACGTCATCGCCTAATTTGCATAATTTGCCATTTGCAAATAACTGTAACGGACGCTGTAGGAGAGAGGAATAAGGTCGTGGGAGAGACAAAAGTGAGTAAAAACACCCTAAATATGTTTAGAACTACAAATGTACAAAAATAATTTCAACATTAACAACATTTAATGAATTTAATGCTTTGTCTAGATCCACATTACACACATCAGTTTTGTCCCGTATTGTTAAATGTTATAACAGCAAATGTAATCAAAAGATTGTTATGTAGGGTGAAATTGCTAGCTCTACAACCAACCCTCCTCCTTTATCCGGGCTTGGGACCGGCAAAGTGACCCAAAAGACACACTCTGGCAGAGTTACTTAGGTTTATTTTTGTAATTTTTTTTTTTTTTTCATAGTTTGGCATAACAAATGATTTAATGTGACCCACTACTGAGAGAAAACAGAGTCACGGACAGAGCTGCCGCGATGGAGTGGGGGTAGTGGGGGGTGGCGGTGGTAGGAGTGGCCGGGGAGCTTTGGATGTGTGGTGGTGGTGGAGCTGAAGTTCAGTCTGCAGCAGCCTGAAAACTTCCTGTGCTTTTGAGACAGGGTCTCCTCTCTCTCTCTCTCTGCTCCGCCCATAGACTGTAGCTGGGACTGCTGCGCAAGGCTACTGTGAGACTGGCCGCCTGTAAGTGCTTTGGGACGGGGGAGGGGCTCACGTTGAGGACAGCAGAACAATACGTGCTTCACGAGTCTCCAAAACACCAGATAAGTCGCCAAAACACCAGATAAGTCGCCAATAACACCAGAAAAAGTCGCTAGATTTGTCGCTAGTCGCTTTTTTGAAAAAAAGTCGCTATAGGGGTCTGAAAAGTCGCTAAATCTAGCGACAAAGTCGCTAAGTTGGCAACACTGTTTCTGTGCAATTCCATTTCTCTGGAGTGAGGAGGACGTAATGTAGCCGAAGCAGAGCCGAGCAGAGCAGCCGGTTTTAAAGATGCGGTTGAGTTGTTTTTCCCAAAGGGTCAGATGCGCTTCCAGTGACGACACTCGTTGACCAATCAGTGTAAGGCAGTGGGCCGACGTGACGTCATGGCACGGGTAACATGGGGATGGAACCACGGCTGAGGCAGTACGGAAAAGTACTCAAATCTCCCATTCCATCCACTAGTGGAAAAGCAAAATAGGTGCGCCGTACCGAAATGAACTGAACTGACACTGTGGAAAAACAGCATTTGTTTCTGCGTATTAACTGACCTAACGGCAGCATGTAGAGATTGAACAGAAGAGGTCCCAGGATCGACCCCTGTGGGACTCCACAGGTCAGGGCCATATGATCTGAGATACAGTTTCCAATCTCCACAAAGTACTTCCTGTCTTCAAGGTAAAACCTAAACCAACTTAGGGCGGTGCCAGCGACGCCAACCCAGTCCTCTAGTCTCTGTGAGAGGATCTCATGGTCGACGGTGTCAAAGGCAGCACTCTAACAGGATTAGGATTGAGACTTTGCCTGCGTCAGTGTTCAGCCGGATATCATTTGTAACCTTGACGAGAGCAGTCTCATGCTGTGGTGGGGTCTAAAGCCGGACTGAAACATATCAAATGAGTTGTTGATTATAAGAAATCTATTTAGCTGTTGGTAGACAACTTTTTCAAGGACTTTCCCCATAAATGGCAGATTTGAGATGGGACGATAGTTGTTAAGTACCGTAGCATCCAGGCTGCTCTTTTTTAGCAGGGGCCTGATGACTGCAGTTTTCAGGGCCTTTGGGAAAATTCCAGAATTAAGGGACATGTTTACTATCTGTGTGAGTGAAGGTAACAGACTGCTCAGAACAGACTTTAGAAAGCTAGTGGGTAGTACATCCAGGCTGCATGTGGAGGAGCTCAAACTGGAGATTATCTCTTGGACAGTTTGATCATTTACAGGTGCAAAGTAAGTTAGCTCAGAGAGCCTTTTTGGCTGTTGGATGGTTATCTGTGGATTGGAGACAATGGCGTTTTTGATGCCTTGAACCTTGTCATTGAAAAAATGTGCAAACTCATTACATTTACGTTTGGAAGTTAGCTCTAATGGCATCTGAACAGGGGGTTTTGTTAAACTATTAACTGTTGAAAACAAAACACGCAGATTGTTGCTGCAGCCTTCAATCATTTCAGAAAAATACCTTTCTCTCGTACTACGTAGCACCTGGTTAAACTCGCACAACTTATCTTTGAAGATCTTATAATCAACCTGGAGGTTGGACTTGCGCCACTTCCGCTCGGCCCTCCGGCACTCTCTCTTTTGTGCCCTGACCGAGTCTGCTTTAGCCCACGGCGCCTTCTGCTTATTTTTCACTATTTTAACCTTCACAGGAGCGATGGTGTCCAGAACATTCAAAAAGCTAGAGGTGACAGAGTTAAACAGTTCATCTACAGTAGAATACGATGCATTCTCAAAGTTTATCATTCCCATAAATAGTTCACCCGTATTTTCATTTATGTGTCTTCTTCGTACAGCTGCAGAGTCCACTGGTGGTTTGTTAGTGAAACACATGTCAAAAAATATACAAACATGATCCGAAAGCGCAACATTGACCACGTTTACATTAGAAATGTTCACCCCCTTTGTAACTAACAGGTCTAGAGTGTGCCCTCTGCTGTGGGTGGGGCCACTCACATGCTGAGTGAGACCAACAAATTCAAGAACAGAACTCAGCTCTTTTGCATTTCTGTCATCAACATTATCCACATGAATATTAAAATTACCTGTAATGACTAAACTATCAAAATCTGCGCATACAACTGAAAGCAACTCTGTAAAATTATCAATAAAACTGTGACATGACTGCGGTGGCTTGTATAGGACAATGAAAAGTATTGGAGGAGATTGTTTTTGTTGTATTTTAAAAGAAACATATTCAAAAGACGGAAACTTCCCAAGAGACATTCTATGGGAGACAAAGTGGTCTCTGAAAATGGCAGCTAAGCCTCCTCCTTTTTTGTTTTCCCGTATTTCAGATTCAAATTTGAAATTTGGTCGTGATGCTTCTATTAAAACTGCATTTTCTGTATTTTGGTCAAGCCATGTTTCAGCCATGAACATAAGATCTAGATTATAAGAACAAATACAATTATTGATTAAAAAAGACTTGTTACAAAGAGATCTGACATTTAGCATAGCAAGTTTCAAAGTTCAGCGGTGGTGGTCGGCTGATTCTTACACGGAACAAGAATTAGATTTTCCTGATTAGACTGATTAACGTCAGATGTTCAGTAAGTAAGTAAGTTTTTATTTATATACCGCCTTTTCACTGCAGATCTGAGTCTCAAAGCGGTTTACAATTGTTAATTTTGGGCATTTGTCTCTCACTCCACACAGAGATGGGAGCAGGGTTGCCAGTACAGGAAGCGCATGTCAGAACTATTGGACATATTTTTAGTGGTAGGGGAAACCGGAGTACCCGGAGGAAACCTACACAGACACGGGGAGAACATGCAAACTCCACTCAGAAAGGCCCTGGTCCGACCGGGATTCGAACCCAGGACCTTCTTGCTGAGAGGCGAGAGTGCTATCCACTCAGCCACCGTACCGAGGTGGAGGGTTTCTTGGTGCTGAGTTAGGGGGGAGGTGGGCTAAATGAGCAGGAGGGGGGGGTGGAATACTTATGGGGTTAGAGGAGGGACGGGTGGATTTTGTGGGTGAATTTGAGTTGGACGCCCTAGGTGGCTTTGGAGGTACGTATGGGGAGTAGTTTTGAATGTTAGATAGGACTCTTGATCTGGCTACAGTGGGTGTGAGAGGAATAGTCTTCATCGCCGATCTTATCATGCCTGCCGAGTGTTCCGGTAATTCCAGTAGTCAAGGCGGGGATAGAAAAGGGAAGGGTCGTCCTCATTTTCCCTAGATGGAGTGGATGTAGCGGGGGGGACCCAAGCGGGTCCATGGAAGGTGATGAGGGAGTCTTTGGTGGAGACAGAGGTGGTTGAGGAACCCCCAGTACAGGCCTGTCTGTAGCCTGGAGCAATGGGGGAAGCTTCACGGGAGCTGTAGGTGGGGAAGGTGCTGCTGAAGATGATGGAGCAGCCACTGCTGCTGCTGAAGATGATGGAGCAGCCACTGCTGCTGCTGTATCCACTGCTGCTGGTGGTGCTGTATATGCTGATGGCGCTGATGAAGATGTGGCAGCTGCTGATGATGCTGGTGGTGGAGGCGTTGAGCTCTTTCGGAGCCGTGGAGGTGTTGAGTTCTTTTGGAACCTTGGAGGTGTTGAGTTCTTCTTGAATCGTGGAGGTGTGGAGTTCTTTTGAGGCGGTGGGGCTGCAGAGACCTCGGGAGTCGGTGGAGATGGTCGTGATGTCTGTGCCCTTTGCTTCTTCTTTCTCCCTTTTGACGGCTGCACGCGCTGCGCAGGCTGAGGTCTTAGGGCAGATGCTAAGTTATCCATCAACACTTTTACTCCGTAGTTGTTCAGATGTGGACCTTTTTCTTCAAAAAGCTCGTGCCTATTCCAGAACAGATTAAAGTTTTCAATGAAGCCAAGTCCTCTGCGTGAACACTCATTGAGTAGGAATGTATTTAGCTGTTACAGACGGCTAAACTTCTCAATTTTACCATCTATATTTGGAAGTGGTCCACTAAGAAAAATGTTTATGTCCATTTTCTTGAGGTCATCCAGTAACAGCGTTAAATCCATTCGTAACTTCTCGCTTGCCTTCTCATAGATATCTACCGCCCCCGTGTGGATCAATAATGTACGCACACCACTGTTCTCAGATAACACTTTAGGCAGAAGAGTCCTTATCTCAGCAACTTTTGCAGAGTGAACTGAGACAGTGAGTATGGACTCCATGTTTACATTTTTCACCGAACCATCTCCGATAAGGACACAGTTTGTCCTTGGTGGAGGCGCTGCAGTTGTTAGCGGCTTTGTTGTTTCAGAAAGGGGTAAAAAGCGGTTTGAAGTCTTCAGAACATTTAGTTGTGGCCTTATTTCACTCCTATTGTCATTCTTAGCTTTGTCAACTTTGGGTTTAGCTCCACAATTGTTCCAAAAATTCTCATTGTTTATTTTGGAAAAAGAAATGACGTCATAACTTACATTTCCAGTCTGTCCATTCATCCCATTTTCACTCATTGGAAGAGTTGGGTTAAGAAATATCTATTTCTGTTTCCACAATAGATATCCGTGTTTGAAGAGATTTGAGCTGATATTCAGAGAGAGACCAGAGAGAGACCAGAGAGAGACCAGAGAGAGAGACCAGAGAGAGAGACCAGAGAGAGACCAGAGAAAGGCCAGAGAGACCAGAGAGAGACCAGAGAGAGACCAGAGAGAGACCAGAGAGAGAGACCAGTGAGAGACCAGAGAGAGACCAGAGAGACCCCCTCAGCTGACTCTCTCAGTCTCAGCCTCAGTCTCAGTCTCGGCCCGGGCTCAGTCTCCATCTTCCCCAGAGTGAGTGAGACCTCCTCTGACAGCTGTATGAGGTCCCAGAGTGAGACCTCCTCTGACAGCTGTATGAGGTCCCAGAGTGAGACCTCCTCTGACAGCTGTATGAGGTTCCAGAGTGAGACCTCCTCTGACAGCTGTATGAGGTTCCAGAGTGAGACCTCCTCTGACAGCTGTATGAGGTTCCAGAGTGAGACCTCCTCTGACAGCTGTATGAGATCCCAGAGTGAGACCTCCTCTGACAGCTGTATGAGGTCCCAGAGTGAGACCTCCTCTGACAGCTGTATGAGGTCCCAGAGTGAGACCTCCTCTGACAGCTGTATGAGGTTCTGACTTGCCGGTGATGAACGATGCGTCGGAGGTGTTTTCGCTAACGACAATAACCACGGCTCGCCGCAGCCTCCTGATCCCGTGCTAATGCATTATTCGGCCATTAGCCCCGTCCCGCGGAGACCACTCACCCCCGGACCATCAATAATGTAGTGTCCCGGCCGCGCCGGCCGGGGAATTAGTCATCCCCATATTCTATTTAATAAGAAAAACACGAGCGAGGCATAAAGAATCTCATTATGTTTAACAGAGTTACAGTAAGCACAGGCTTTCATTTTCATAAGAGCTCCCACTGCCTAGTGATGTCACACGACAGCATGGAAATGTGGAGAGGAGAGAGGGGACTGAGGCTGTAGACCCAGGACTGAGGCTGTAGACAGGACTGAGGCTGTAGACCCAGGACTGAGGCTGTAGACTGAGGCTGTAGACCCAGGACTGAGGCTGTAGACTGAGGCTGTAGACCCAGGACTGAGGCTGTAGACTGAGGCTGTAGACCCAGGACTGAGGCTGTAGACCCAGGACTGAGGCTGTAGACTGAGGCTGTAGACCCAGGACTGAGGCTGTAGACTGAGGCTGTAGACCCAGGACTGAGGCTGTAGACCCGGGACTGAGGCTGTAGACTGAGGCTGTAGACCCAGGACTGAGGCAGCAGACCCAGGACTGAGGCTGTAGACCCAGGACTGAGGCTGTAGACCCAGGACCAGACCGTACCTCAGTGTGTATCAGGTCTCCATCAGCATAAAGCAGGGATTCTGGCTCCGGTAATCCAGCAGCTGTGTACCGGGATTAAACCAGACCAAGGCCACGGACCGAGGCCACGGTTTGACCCAAACAAGGTTCACCGCGGCAACAAGAGGAGGCTAAGGCGATGGGAGGTCACCACGACACAGACACAGATTATATATATATATATAATAAATATAAGTGTTAAAATGTCTGGGACAGTGTTGAGTAAAGAGTGATACAACAGAACTGTGTTGATCCGTTTGATTTGTCAAATCTGAGTTTTATACAAGCAATGGTGTTGATTCAGATCTAAGCCACGCCCTCTCCCAGGTGGGTTAAGCCACACCCGCTTCCAGGTAGGTTAAGCCACGCCCTCTCCCAGGTGGGAGATGACATTTTTAGCCGACTAAAGTTATTGCTCTAACCCAGGAGTCGGCAACTTGAAAGTTTCAAAGAGCCACATTTGACATTAAAACCTAAAAATAAATCTGTGGGAGCCGCATAAACAGCCCTGTATAAAGCTTAATGAAACACAGACTGTGTTAGCTTTAGCTCTTTTAGCTACGGTCCAAATGACTAAACATAGGAAACAAATAACATACTTTCATGATTATCATATGTGTATTTTCACTGCAGCAGATCTGGAGAACGAGGCACCATGTGACAATTCTATACCATGTGACGACAGACAGTGCTTTTAGTTTCACTTTCCTCTTGTGTTCATGCATTTGTAGAAATACAGTAAATAAACCTCAGAGTTCACAGACTGCAGCTGAACCAAAGACCAGAACTGTTTCTGTTCCTGGTGTCAGAGAAGAACTGTGATGGTACAGTCTACAGAACTGTGATGGTACAGTCAGGAGGCTGATTATTGGACGGATCATGTTGATGGTAAAGTAGCTTAAATAATGGGATCGCAGCAGAAGATGTGACATCACTCACAGACCTCCAAGGGGCCGCTCATTGGGCTTCATCGAGCTAGCGTGTTAGCATTGTCCATCTGTATACAGTCTGTGTTAGGATTGTCCATCTGTATACTGTCTGTGTTAGCATTAGCATCTGTATACAGTCTGTGTTAGCATTAGCATCTGTATACAGTCTGTGTTAGCATTAGCATCTGTATACAGTCTGTGTTAGCATTAGCATCTGTATACAGTCTATGTTAGCATTAGCATCTGTATACAGTCTGTGTTAGCATTGTCCATCTGTACACAGTCTGTGTTAGCATCGTCCATCTGTATACTGTCTGTGTTAGCATTAGCATCTGTATACAGTCTGTGTTAGCATTAGCATCTGTATACAGTCTATGTTAGCATTAGTATCTGTATACAGTCTGTGTTAGCATTGTCCATCTGTATACAGTCTGTGTTAGCATTAGCATATGTATACAGTCTGTGTTAGCATTAGCATCTGTATACAGTCTGTGTTAGCATTGTCCATCTGTACACAGTCTGTGTTAGCATTGTCCATCTGTACACAGTCTGTGTTAGCATTGTCCATCTGTATACAGTCTGTGTTAGCATTAGCATCTGTATACAGTCTGTGTTAGCATTGTCCATCTGTATACAGTCTATGTTAGCATTATCCATAAATAACAAACAATATGTAAAATGCAGGTTATAAATCTCCCAGAGTGTTATTGAGAGCCGGGGCCGAGCCTGTGCCGTGTGTGGCCCCGGCTCGGGCCCCTGGGGACTCTAATTCAATCTGTTTCCAGGGAATACTAATGGCCCTAATGCTGAGATAACTGCTGCTCTCATTGACAGCCTGTGTGTCTGGGCCATAATAGACATGTCAGAGTGACAGGTGGGCGGGGCTAACACGCACAAGCCCCGCCCACACTGACCTCCTTGGGCGCGAATAAGCAACAGGAGTAGAGGCAGGTTTGTTTGTATAGTTTACACACAGCAGTTCAAAGACCATAAAACAAGATAGAAACACAATAAATAATCACAGAGGATTAGAAAGAAATACAGGACCTAACTCTATCTGTCATGTATACTGATGCCTCTATCTGTCATGTATACTGAGGCCTCTATCTGTCATGTATACTGAGGCCTCTATCTGTCATGTATACTGATGTGTACTGAGGCCTCTATCTGTCATGTATACTGATGTGTACTGAGGCCTCTATCTGTCATGTATACTGATGCCTCTATCTGTCATGTATACTGAGGCCTCTATCTGTCATGTGTACTGAGGCCTCTATCTGTCATGTATACTGATGTGTACTGAGGCCTCTATCTGTCATGTATACTGAGGCCTCTATCTCTCATGTATACTGATGTGTACTGAGGACTCTATCTCTCATGTATACTGAGGCCTCTATCTGTCATGTATACTGAGGCGTCTATCTGTCATGTATACAAAGGCCTCTATCGCTCATGTATACTGAGGCCTCTATCTGTCATGTATACTGAGGCCTCTATCTGTCATGTATACTGATGTATACTGAGGCCTCTATCTGTCATGTATACTGATGTGTACTGAGGCCTCTATCTGTCATGTATACTGATGTGTACTGAGGCCTCTATCTGTCATGTATACTGATGTGTGCTGAGGCCTCTATCTGTCATGTATACAGAGGCCTCTATCGCTCATGTATACTGAGGCCTCTATCTGTCATGTATACTGATGTGTACTGAGGCCTCTATCTCTCATGTATACTGAGGCCTCTATCTGTCATGTATACAGAGGCCTCTATCTCTCATGTATACTGAGGCCTCTTTCTGTCATGTATACTGAGGCCTCTATCTGTCATGTATACTGAGGCCATTATCTGTCATGTGTACTGAGGCCTCTATCTGTCATGTATACTGAGGCCTCTATCTGTCATGTATACTGAGGCCTTTATCTGTCATGTGTACTGAGGCCTCTATCTGTCATGTATACTGAGGCCTCTCTGTCATGTATACTGAGGCCTCTATCTGTCATGTGTACTGAGGCCTCTATCTGTCATGTATACTGAGGCCTCTATCTGTCATGTATACTGAGACCTCTGTGTGTGTGTGTATACTGAGGCCTCTGTGTGTGTGTGTATACTGAGGCCTCTGTCTGTGTGTGTATACTGAGGCCTCTGTGTGTGTGTATACTGAGGCCTCTGTGTGTGTGTATACTGAGGCCTCTGTGTGTGTGTATACTGAGGCCTCTGTGTGTGTGTGTATACTGAGGCCTCTGTGTGTGTGTGTACTGAGGCCTCTGTGTGTGTATGTATACTGAGGCCTCTGTGTGTGTGTGTATAATGAGACCTCTGTGTGTGTATGTATACTGAGGCCTCTCTGTGTGTGTGTATACTGAGGCCTCTGTGTGTGTGTGTGTATACTGAGGCCTCTTTGTGTGTGTATACTGAGGCCTCTGTGTGTTTGTATACTGAGGCCTCTGTGTATGTATACTGAGGCCTCTATGTGTGTATGTATACTGAGGCCTCTGTGTGTGTATGTATACTGAGGCCTCTGTGTGTATACTGAGGCCTCTATGTGTGTATGTATACTGAGGCCTCTGTGTCTGTGTGTGTATACTGAGGCCTCTATGTGTATATGTATACTGAGGCCTCTGTGTGTGTATACTGAGGCCTCTATGTGTGTATGTATACTGAGGCCTCTATGTGTGTATGTATATTGAGGCCTCTGTGTGTATGTATACTGAAGCCTCTATGTGTGTATGCATACTGAGGCGTCTCTGTCTGTGTGTGTATATTGAGGCCTGTATCTCTTTGTGTGTGACGTCAGTTCTAAAAGTGATGCTAATAAAAACATGTCTGTGTTTTTATCAGCCAGAATCCACTCATGTTTTCTCTGTGGAAGAGGTGGCTCCAGGAGTGGGCCCTGGACTGAGACTGGACTGGACCGTGGACTTAGGAGTGGAGGCCAACAACAACTGCAGCGGTGTGTGGCCCATGTGGCACATGTTAAAGGCCTGTGTGTGTCTCTCTCTCTCTCTCTCTCTCTCTCTCTCTCTCTCTCACGCACACACACACACACACACACATATAATACTTTTATTTAACTTGTGAGTGTGTTGCTTTCTTTACGTCTCAAACAAGAGTGGGCCGTGATCGCGCCTCCAGACCATAACTGTGTAATAAACAGAGCGACAGCGACACCTGGAGGCGAACAGGCGTAAGTGCGTCAGTGGAGCAACGACAGGAGTCGGCACTGAGCACGTGGGCACAACCACAGACTGTGATATATTTACAGACAATATACTCTACTCTACCCTACCCTACCCCACTCTACCCTACTCTGCTACTCTACTCTACTTTACCCTACTCTATTCTACCCTACTCTACTCTACTCTACTTTACCCTACTCTATTCTACCCTACCCTACCCTACTCTATTCTAACATGGCTTCCAGCAGGACTCTGACCAACCACTGTCATTTTGAACACTTTTGTAACAGCTCAGCCTGGATAGAACCAGGACCAAGAAGAAGTCCCTGGTGGTTACACTGGGCCAGAGAAAACACTCCCAATCAGGGGAGAGTGGAGAAGAGTAGAGTAGAGTAAATGGAGCAGGGCCTATACAGTCCATGATACCCGCCCTGCGGTGTCCATGGTAACCATGGCAGCGCGCTCCTTGGTGCAGTACCGCTCTCCTCCAACAGGGGACGCTGTTCCTCTGTCTTTCTCCTCCAGCTCCGTGAGAACCGGACTCAGCATCACTCTGGAGGATCACACACACTCACACACCGCGCCCCTCTGCGTCTCCAGACCCACACACCGCCTCCACGTCTCCACAGCCCGCGGAACCATGACGGCGAAAGCCCGAAAACACACGGGGGCCAGGGGTGCTGTGACCCCGGGGGAGCGCGACAAGAGCCCGCTGCTCTCCTCTCACTCCTCCGGGAGAAGCACCTCCAGGAGAGGAGGCAGAGAGGGACACAAAGGCTCTCATGCCAACGGACTGTCTGGGTCTAAGCACTGGCTGACGGGTCCTGTCTCGGCACGGCTCGGATCATCGCTGGTTCTGGGTGAGTTCGGAGCTAGCTGCAGTTAGCATCAGCAGCTAGCACAGCATGGATCGCTCTTTATGACTGCTCCTAACGTAATGAATGAGATATAGATCTGCTAATTCGATAGCCCTGAGTGTTAGCTAATGTTGAGCTGTAAATACATGTATGAACTCTGCTGTGCACTTTGCTCCTGCACAAACTGCTCTCACCAAAGTTTAAAGGTTCTGTAGAATGTAAACAAACGTCATGTTGTTCATGGCTGTGGTCACGTGGCTCCTACAGGCTGCCAACGCTTTATACGTCTAACTTCACACACGTGTTTTAAAGCGGTAGGGCAGGGTAGAGTAGAGTAGGGTAGGGAAGGTCTACATACATGCATTTATAGCCTTAGTTTTGATTTGAAAAAGAAACAATTCAAAAAGAATGAAAGAATTGTGGAAGATCCTAAAACTGCTCTGTGTGATCTTTCCTGTTTCTGGTGTCATGTTGATGGCAGGGCTGGACTGGGACAATAAAACGGCCCGGGCATGTTTTTGTCACGTTTTTTACACTTTGTTTATACCAGGTGTTGGAGCCAGTTTCCTGTGTTTTCCTTTGCTGCCTCCTGCCACTGTGTGGCGCCACCTAGATAGTATGCCCTATATAAGTGGGGCACTAATGACAGACAGGTGTTGTAGTGTGGAGGCAAACATCTTTCGACCGTTGTTTGTTACCACAGCTTTATATTTGTGTACTTGGCAACAATAAAGGATTGTAGAACACAGTATTTTGCTCTATTTGGATGGTGAGAGACACGCGTCCTAGACGCCAACACACTGCATCCAGCGGACCTTGCACAGGGCAAGTTTTGGCCGCTACATTGTCGAAAGATAGCCTCAGGTACCGTCTGGGCGTGAAGATTGCGTCAGCTGTGATTGGCACAGCGCGGTTTCCTGGAGAGGAGTGGACCCACGCCTACCGTGGCGGTGACTCGTTGCCACAGGGGCGCGGCGAACCGGCGGACTGTCGGCGGGAAGGAGGAAAGGGCAAAAACACCGGAGAGAGCACCGGCGTCCTCCACCACCAGCGCGGGCGAGGGAAGACTCGGCGCGCAAACTGTCCTGTCCTGCAGCACGGATCGGACCGCAGAGGAGTGGACCGCGGAGGAGCTCGGCACCGCGTTTGGAGAAGGCTACGCGTGGTGAGCAGTTCTGATTTCTGTGTGCGACATAATTCCGCACAGACTACACGTTTAGGAGCGGTACATGGACTGTGAGGTGGACACTGTAAAAAGGAATACTGTAAAAAATGTGCACCAGGGATTTGAACAAAACTGACAAAAAAGAGAGAGCTTCAGCTGCTGCAGCTTTGGTTAAAATAAAAGCTAAGCAAGCTGCGCTTCTAGTTAAAATGTCATTTTTGGAAGAGAAATATGAACTGGAAGCAAAGCAACTAGCCATTAAGAGACAATTGGAAGAGCTGGAATTTGAAACTAAAATGACTGAAGTGACAGCTAAACTTGCAGTGTTGAATGCCTCAAAGAAGCATCGGCATAAAAATAAATCTCTTCCAATAGAGCCTAGGGTGCAAACACAAGTCCCAACCACAACTGTCCCTGCAGTTATAAAAGAAACTAGGACTGATGATGACTGGGATGGATTTAACTGGGAGCCACCAGTTTATGTACCCACTTTGGTGGGTTCACTTGAGCCAACTGGGACCGCTGATGACTGGGATGGATTTGACTGGGAGCCACCAGTTTACATTCCCACTTTGGTGGATGCGCTTGAGCCAACAGGGGCCGGTAGTGCCACACAAATGGCTGATGTGAACTGTTCATCTTCACCAGACCGTCGGGAGGACTTTGAGATTTCCCTTATGGACCATGAGCGAACGGTGACATTGGATTTGGACACTGAGACATGCTCGTGGAAAAAGATGGACAGTACAGAGGATGAAGAGCAGGAAACTTCTGCTGTTCCTGTCTTATTGACTGCCTTGCAGCCTGTAGTGGGAGGCCTGCTGCAGCAGAAGCTGGCCTGCAGTGGCCCAGACATGGTCACACCAGGCCACACCAGGATTTTTCCACTGCCACAGTGGCGTAGTAAAAGCAAGCACAACAATGCTTTTGTAAGAAACACTCATTTTGATTTTGTTGTTCTCGTGAACTGTCTTTGGATTCTGTATGTGCTTTCAGCCAGCAAAATGTTTAAGCTAAAGTTGCGCAAAGCTTTCAAAAGAAAGCGCTGGAAATAGTTTTGAATAATGAAACATAACAGGATGGATATTAAATGCCAAATGTATTTTCTGTGTATTGAACAATGACTTTGAATATGTGGACATTGAAATTTTGTGTTTTTTGAAAAATATGTTCCCAATGTGACAAACTTGCTAAGTTAAAGTATGGCTCCATGTTTATTTGAATTTGTAATTGTTTAGCTCCTGGCTTTCACAATTAAGGGGCCGGTGTGTTGGAGCCAGTTTCCTGTGTTTTCCTTTGCTGCCTCCTGCCACTGTGTGGCGCCACCTAGATAGTATGCCCTATATAAGTGGGGCACTAATGACAGACAGGTGTTGTAGTGTGGAGGCAAACATCTTTCGACCGTTGTTTGTTACCACAGCTTTATATTTGTGTACTTGGCAACAATAAAGGATTGTAGAACACAGTATTTTGCTCTATTTGGATGGTGAGAGACACGCGTCCTAGACGCCAACACACTGCATCCAGCGGACCTTGCACAGGGCAAGTTTTGGCCGCTACACCAGGGATCTGCAACTCAAAAGGTTCAAAGAGCCATATTTGACAAAAAATACTAAAAACATCTGTCTGGAGCCGCAAAAAAATTACAGCCTTGTATAAAGCTTATATGAAGGTTACACAATGTAGCTACATTAGCTACATTAGCCTATTATCTAAATGACCAAGTAAAGGCTACAAATACATGATTAGCATTCATGATTGTCAAATGTGTGTTTTCACTGCAGCGTGTCCTGGAGAGAATGACGCACCACGTGATGACTCTGCTTTAACTTCATGCAACTGTAGAAATACAGTAAATAAATCTGCTTTTTGGCTCAAAGGTCACACTCGATTACGTCACAGGCTGAAGTTTGCTGGAGCTGAATGTCCTTAATGGCCTTTTCCTTCACAGTCTTTGCAAAGGTTTTTGAAGTCTGAAAAAGGTGCTCCGGATTTTGTATGAAAGAATCCTTCACGTAATCCCTGTGAACGGTATTTAGTGCTTCATTGTTCCTCGTGTTGCAACAAAACTTCCTATTACATCGCAAACATGAAGCAGTCCTTCCTCATTGACTGAAAGCAAATGTTCTGTCTTGTTCTTAGTCCAGTCTTATTATCAGCTCGTTCTCTTTTTATCTTTGGGATCCGTGCGCACACGCCGGTTTGTTTACAGCAGCAGCCGCCTGGCACGGGGCCGCGCCGCAGGATATGACTCACTACGTTGACAGAAATTTTGAAATTGAATATTACTTATACACATTTTTACAGCATTGAAATACGTTAGGAATGTTTTTCCTCCTACAGAAACCACATTCAAACTAGGAATAAAATATAGCCCTCACACTCCATTTTCAGACATTTTTGAAAAGGCTCCAGGAGCCACTGCGGAGCACTAAAGGTTGCCGACCCCTGGTTTATACAGTATGTGGAAGCAAGTACTGTAGAGGATCAGGATGTCTACAGTTTCAACAAAAAAATAAAGTGCAATAGTCTACATTAAACAGAGTAATAAACATGTCTCAGAGTGAGGGAGGTGGACACAGACAACACTATTGTTTGTTACAGGGATGAGAATTGGTCAAAAAAGTCTGAAATGCATAATGTCAGCCATTAGCTGGCTCTAAATCTGTTTAATTGTTTCACAACATTTTACTTTTGGGCTCAAACATGAACTTTTAATGCAATGGAAAATTTAGGCACCCGAGCTTTAATTTAGTCGCACTTCGAGAGGAGAGGGGAGACGCGGACTGTTTTCTGCAGCGGTGTATTTATTGGGTGCACAAATTACGCAAAGACACGCATGGTCCTGTGCGCGTTTATGGTCTTGGGTACATGGTCACGTTGCGGCTACGCGCTCACCGTGTTGTGTTGTGAGCGGTTCCCGGTGAGCGGTTCCTGCGTCCAGCTCAGAGCCGCTGGATACGGGAACACTGCGGCCGCTGAGGTGGTGGAATCCCGTTCGAGTACATACAGCAGGTGCCCAGCGGACACGCGCGCTCCCCTCAAACATTTCTCAACGGATTTACACTTTTCACAAACATGTTTTTTGTATGAGGCAGACAGACCGGCCCAAATATGGGCATCGGCCCTTCTGGCATTGCCCGGTACGCCCGATGGCCAGTCCAGCCCTGGTTGATGGTGTCTGTCTTGTTGATGGTGTCTGTCATGTTGATGGTGTCCGTCATGTTGATGGTGTCTGTCATGTTGATGGTGTCTTTCAAGTTGATGGTGTCCGTCATGTTGATGGTGTCTGTCATGTTGATGGTGTCCGTCATGTTGATGGTGTCTGTCTTGTTGATGGTGTCTGTCTTGTTGATGGTGTCTGTCATGTTGATGGTGTCTGTAATGTTGATGGTGTCTGTTCTGTTGATAGTGTCTGTTCTGTTGATGGTGTCCATCTTGTCAATGGTGTCTGTCATGTTGATGGTGTCTGTCCTGTTGATGGTGTCATGTTGATGGTGTCTGTCTTGTTGATGGTATCTGTCATGTTGATGGTGTCTGTCCTGTTGATGGTGTCTGTCTTGTTGATGTTGTCTGTCCTGTTGATGGTGTCATGTTGATGGTGTCTGTCTTGTTGATGGGTCTGTCATGTTGATGGTGTCTGTCTTGTTGATGGTGTCTGTCTTATTGATGGTGTCTGCCTTGTTGATGGTGTCTGTCTTGTTGATGGGGTCTGTCTTGTTGATGGGGTCTGTCATGTTGATGGTATCTGTCATGTTGATGGTATCTGTCATGTTGATGGTGTCTGTCTTGTTGATGATGTCTGTCATGTTGATGGTATCTGTCTTGTTGATGGTGTCTGCCATGTTGATGGTGTCTGTCTTGTTGATGGTGTCTCTTATTGATAGTGTTTGTCTTGTTGATGGTATCTGTCATGTTGATGGTATCTGTCTTGTTGATGATGTCTGTCATGTTGATGGTATCTGTCTTGTTGATGGTGTCTGTCATGTTGATGGTGTCTGTCATGTTGATGGTGTCTGTCTTGTTGATGGTGTCTGTCTTGTTGATGGGGTCTGTCATGTTGATGGTATCTGTCATGTTGATGGTGTCTGTCCTGTTGATGGTGTCTGTCTTGTTGATGGTGTCTGTCCTGTTGATGGTGTCTGTCTTGTCGATGGTGTCATGTTGATGGTGTCTGTCTTGTTGATGGTGTCTGTCTTGTTGATGGGTCTGTCATGTTGATGGTGTCTGTCTTGTTGATGGTGTCTGTCTTATTGATGGTGTCTGTCTTGTTGATGGTGTCTGTCTTGTTGATGGGGTCTGTCTTGTTGATGGGGTCTGTCATGTTGATGGTATCTGTCATGTTGATGGTATCTGTCATGTTGATGGTATCTGTCATGTTGATGGTATCTGTCATGTTGATGGTATCTGTCATGTTGATGGTGTCTGTCTTGTTGATGATGTCTGTCATGTTGATGGTATCTGTCTTGTTGATGGTGTCTGCCATGTTGATGGTGTCTGTCTTGTTGATGGTGTCTGTCTTATTGATAGTGTTTGTCTTGTTGATGGTATCTGTCATGTTGATGGTATCTGTCTTGTTGATGATGTCTGTCATGTTGATGGTATCTGTCTTGTTGATGGTGTCTGTCATGTTGATGGTGTCTGTCTTGTTGATGGGGTCTGTCATGTTGATGGTGTCTGTCATGTTGATGGTGTCTGTCTTGTTGATGGTGTCTGTCTTGTTGATGGGGTCTGTCATGTTGATGGTATCTGTCATGTTGATGGTGTCTGTCCTGTTGATGGTGTCTGTCTTGTTGATGGTGTCTGTCCTGTTGATGGTGTCTGTCTTGTCGATGGTGTCATGTTGATGGTGTCTGTCTTGTTGATGGTGTCTGTCTTGTTGATGGGTCTGTCATGTTGATGGTGTCTGTCTTGTTGATGGTGTCTGTCTTATTGATGGTGTCTGTCTTGTTGATGGTGTCTGTCTTGTTGATGGTGTCTGTCTTGTTGATGGGGTCTGTCATGTTGATGGTATCTGTCATGTTGATGGTATCTGTCATGTTGATGGTATCTGTCATGTTGATGGTGTCTGTCTTGTTGATGATGTCTGTCATGTTGATGGTATCTGTCATGTTGATGGTATCTGTCTTGTTGATGATGTCTGTCATGTTGATGGTATCTGTCTTGTTGATGGTGTCTGTCATGTTGATGGTGTCTGTCATGTTGATGGTGTCTGTCTTGTTGATGGTGTCTGTCTTGTTGATGGGGTCTGTCATGTTGATGGTATCTGTCATGTTGATGGTGTCTGTCCTGTTGATGGTGTCTGTCTTGTTGATGGTGTCTGTCCTGTTGATGGTGTCTGTCTTGTCGATGGTGTCATGTTGATGGTGTCTGTCTTGTTGATGGGTCTGTCATGTTGATGGTGTCTGTCTTGTTGATGGTGTCTGTCTTATTGATGGTGTCTGTCTTGTTGATGGTGTCTGTCTTGTTGATGGGGTCTGTCTTGTTGATGGGGTCTGTCATGTTGATGGTATCTGTCATGTTGATGGTATCTGTCATGTTGATGGTATCTGTCATGTTGATGGTATCTGTCATGTTGATGGTGTCTGTCTTGTTGATGATGTCTGTCATGTTGATGGTATCTGTCTTGTTGATGGTGTCTGCCATGTTGATGGTGTCTGTCTTGTTGATGGTGTCTGTCTTATTGATAGTGTTTGTCTTGTTGATGGTATCTGTCATGTTGATGGTATCTGTCTTGTTGATGATGTCTGTCATGTTGATGGTATCTGTCTTGTTGATGGTGTCTGTCATGTTGATGGTATCTGTCATGTTGATGGTGTCTGTCCTGTTGATGGTGTCTGTCTTGTTGATGGTGTCTGTCCTGTTGATGGTGTCTGTCTTGTCGATGGTGTCATGTTGATGGTGTCTGTCTTGTTGATGGTGTCTGTCTTGTTGATGGGTCTGTCATGTTGATGGTGTCTGTCTTGTTGATGGTGTCTGTCTTATTGATGGTGTCTGTCTTGTTGATGGTGTCTGTCTTGTTGATGGTGTCTGTCTTGTTGATGGGGTCTGTCATGTTGATGGTATCTGTCATGTTGATGGTATCTGTCATGTTGATGGTATCTGTCATGGTGTCTGTCTTGTTGATGATGTCTGTCATGTTGATGGTATCTGTCATGTTGATGGTGTCTGTCTTGTTGATGATGTCTGTCATGTTGATGGTATCTGTCTTGTTGATGGTGTCTGCCATGTTGATGGTGTCTGTCTTGTTGATGGTGTCTGTCTTATTGATAGTGTTTGTCTTGTTGATGGTATCTGTCATGTTGATGGTATCTGTCTTGTTGATGTCTGTCATGTTGATGGTGTCTGTCTTGTTGATGGGGTCTGTCATGTTGATGGTGTCTGTCATGTTGATGGTGTCTGTCTTGTTGATGGTGTCTGTCTTGTTGATGGGGTCTGTCATGTTGATGGTATCTGTCATGTTGATGGTATCTGTCATGTTGATGGTATCTGTCATGTTGATGGTGTCTGTCATGTTGATGGTGTCTGTCTTGTTGATGATGTCTGTCATGTTGATGGTATCTGTCATGTTGATGGTGTCTGTCTTGTTGATGATGTCTGTCATGTTGATGGTATCTGTCTTGTTGATGGTGTCTGCCATGTTGATGGTGTCTGTCTTGTTGATGGTGTCTGTCTTATTGATAGTGTTTGTCTTGTTGATGGTATCTGTCATGTTGATGGTATCTGTCTTGTTGATGTCTGTCATGTTGATGGTGTCTGTCTTGTTGATGGGGTCTGTCATGTTGATGGTGTCTGTCATGTTGATGGTGTCTGTCTTGTTGATGGTGTCTGTCTTGTTGATGGGGTCTGTCATGTTGATGGTATCTGTCATGTTGATGGTATCTGTCATGTTGATGGTATCTGTCATGTTGATGGTGTCTGTCTTGTTGATGATGTCTGTCATGTTGATGGTATCTGTCTTGTTGATGGTGTCTGCCATGTTGATTGTGTCTGTCATGTTGATGGTATCTGTCTTGTTGATGGTGTCTGTCATGTTGATGGTGTCTGTCTTGTTGATAGTGTTTGTCTTTTTGATGGTATCTTTCATGTTGATGGTGTTTGTCTTGTTAATGGTGTTTGTCTTGTTAATGGTGTCTGTCTTGTTGATGGTGTCTGTCTTGTTGATGGTATCTTTCATGTTGATGGTGTTTGTCTTGTTAATGGTGTCTGGCTTGTTGATGGTGTCTGTCATGGTGATGGTGTCTTCTGTCATGTTGATGGTGTCTGTAACCTTCATTGTGCTTGTCCGCAGCTGCCCTGGTTGGATACCTGCACTGGTAAGAACATACAGACTGTACATACTAAGAACATACAGATTGTACATACTAAGAACCTACTGTACATACTAAGAACATACAGACTGTACATACTAAGAACATACAGACTACATACTAAGAACATACAGACTGTACATACTAAGAACATACAGACTGTACATACTAAGAACATACAAACAGTACATACTAAGAACATACAGACTGTACATACTAAGAACATACAGACTGTACATACTAAGAACATACAGACTACATACTAAGAACATACAAACAGTACATACTAAGAACATACAGACTGTACATACTAAGAACATACAGACTGTACATACTAAGAATATACAAACAGTACATACTAAGAACATACAGACTGTACACACTAAGAACATACAGACTGTACATACTAAGAACATACAAACAGTACATACTAAGAACATACAGACTGTTACTCTACTCTCCTCTCCTCTACTCTACTCGACTCTACTGTACTCTACTCTACCCTACTCTACCCTACTCTACTCTACTCTACTCTACTCTTCTGTACTACTACCCTACCCTACTCTAATCTACTCTACTCTACTCTACTCTACTCTACTCTACCCTACTCTACTCTACTCTACTCTACTCTACTTTACCCTACCCTACCCTACCCTACTCTACTCTACTCTACTCTACTCGACTCTACCCTACCCTACCCTACCCTACTCTACTCTACTCTACTCTACTCTACCCTACTCTACTCTACCCTACTCTAATCTACTCTACTCTACTCTACTCTACTCTAATCTACTCTACTCTACCCTACTCTACTCTACTCTACTCTACTCTACTCTATCCCACTCTACCCTACTCTACCCTACTCTACTCTGCTCTCCTCCACTCTACTCTACTCTACTCCACTGCACTCTACTCTACTCTACCCTACCCTACTCTACTCTACTCTACTCTACTCTACTCTACTCTACTCTACTCTACCCTACCCTACTCTAATCTACTCTACTTTACTCTACTCTACTCTACTCTACTCTACCCTACTCTACTCTACTCTACTCTACGCTACCCTTCTCTACTCTACGCTACTCTAATCTACTCTACTCTACTCTACTCTACTCTACTCTGCTCTACCCTACTCTACTCTACTCTACTTTACCCTACTCTACCCTACTCTACTCTCCTCTCCTCTACTCTACTCTACCCTACTCTACTCTACTCTACTCTACTCTACCCTGACCTACTCTACTCTACGCTACCCTACTCTACTCTACTCTAATCTACTCTACTCTACTCTACCCTACTCTACCCTACTCTACTCTACTCTACCCTACCCTACTCTACTCTACTCTACTCTACTCTACTCTACCCTACTCTATTCTACTCTACTGTACTCTACTCTCCTCTCCTCTCCTCTACTCTACCCTACTCTACTCTACTCTACTCTACTCTACTCTACCCTAACCTACTTTACCCTACTCTACTCTACTCTACCCTACCTTACCCTACCGTACTCTACTCTACTCTACTCTACTCTACTCTACCCTACCCTACCCTACTCTACTCTACCTTACTCTACTCTACTCTACCCTACCCTACCCTACTCTACTCTACCCTAGCCTACCCTACCCTACTCTACTCTACCCTACTCTACTCTACCCTAACCTACTCTACTCTACCCTACTCTACTCTACTCTACTCTTCTCTACCCTACTCTACTTTACCCTACTCTACTCTACACTACTCTACTCTACCCTACCCTACCCTACCCTACTCTACTCTACTCTACTTTACCCTACCCTACTCTACTCTCCTCTCCTCTACTCTACTCTACTCTACCCTACTCTACTCTACTCTACTCTACTCTACTCTACCCTAACCTACTCTACTCTACCCTACCCTACTCTACTCTAATCTACTCTACTCTACCCTACTCTACTCTACTCTACTCTACTCTACTCTATCCTACTCTACCCTACTCTACTCTACTCTACTCTACTCTACCCTACTCTACTCTACTCTGCTCTCCTCCACTCTACTCTACTCTACTCCACTGTACTCTACTCTACTCTACCCTACCCTACTCTACTCTACTCTACTCTACTCTACTCTACTCTACCCTACCCTACTCTAATCTACTCTACTTTACTCTACTCTACTCTACTCTACCCTACTCTACTCTACTCTACTCTACGCTACCCTTCTCTACCCTACACTACTCTAATCTACTGTACTCTACTCTACTCTACTCTGCTCTACCCTACTCTACTCTACTTTACTCTACCCTACCCTACTCTACTCTACTCTACTCTACTCTACTCTACTCTACCCTACTCTATTCTACTCTACTGTACTCTACTCTCCTCTCCTCTCCTCTACTCTACTCTACTCTACTCTACTCTACTCTACTCTACTCTACCCTACCCAGCTCTGCTCTGCTCTACTCTACTCTACTCTACTCTACTCTACTCTACTCTACCCTACTCTACCCTACTCTACTCTACTCTACTCTACCCTACCCTACCCTACTCTACTCTACTCTACTCTACTCTACCCTACCCAGCTCTGCTCTGCTCTACTCTACTCTACTCTACTCTACTCTACTCTACCCTACTCTACTCTACTATACTCTACTCTCCTCTACTCTACTCTACTCTACTCTACTCTACTCTACTGTACTCTACTCTACCCTACTCTACCCTACTCTACTCTACTCTACTCTACTCTTCTGTACTCTACCTACCCTACCCTACTCTAATCTACTCTACTCTACTCTACTCTACTCTACTCTACTCTACCTACTCTACTCTACTCTACTCTACTCTATTCTACTTTACCCTACCCTACCCTACCCTACTCTACTCTACTCTACTCGACTCTACCCTACCCTACCCTACCCTACTCTACTCTACTCTACCCTACTCTACTCTACCCTACTCTAATCTACTCTACTCTACTCTACTCTACTCTAATCTACTCTACTCTACCCTACTCTACTCTACTCTACTCTACTCTACTCTACTCTATCCCACTCTACCCTACTCTACCCTACTCTACTCTGCTCTCCTCCACTCTACTCTACTCTACTCCACTGCACTCTACTCTACTCTACCCTACCCTACTCTACTCTACTCTACTCTACTCTACTCTACTCTACTCTACTCTACCCTACCCTACTCTAATCTACTCTACTTTACTCTACTCTACTCTACTCTACCCTACTCTACTCTACTCTACTCTACGCTACCCTTCTCTACTCTACGCTACTCTAATCTACTCTACTCTACTCTACTCTACTCTGCTCTACCCTACTCTACTCTACTCTACTTTACCCTACTCTACCCTACTCTACTCTCCTCTCCTCTACTCTACCCTACTCTACTCTACTCTACTCTACTCTACCCTGACCTACTCTACTCTACGCTACCCTACTCTACTCTACTCTAATCTACTCTACTCTACTCTACTCTACTCTACCCTACTCTACCCTACTCTACTCTACTCTACCCTACCCTACTCTACTCTACTCTACTCTACTCTACCCTACTCTATTCTACTCTACTGTACTCTACTCTCCTCTCCTCTACTCTACCCTACTCTACTCTACTCTACTCTACTCTACTCTACCCTAACCTACTTTACCCTACTCTACTCTACTCTACCCTACCTTACCCTACCGTACTCTACTCTACTCTACTCTACTCTACTCTACCCTACCCTACCCTACTCTACTCTACCATACTCTACTCTACTCTACCCTACCCTACCCTACTCTACTCTACTCTACCCTAGCCTACCCTACCCTACTCTACTCTACCCTAACCTACTCTACTCTACCCTACTCTACTCTACTCTACTCTACTCTACCCTACTCTACTTTACCCTACTCTACTCTACTCTACACTACTCTACCCTACCCTACCCTACCCTACTCTACTCTACTCTACTTTACCCTACCCTACTCTACTCTCCTCTCTCCTCTACTCTACTCTACTCTACCCTACTCTACTCTACTCTACTCTACTCTACTCTACCCTAACCTACTACTCTACTCTACCCTACCCTACTCTACTCTACTCTACTCTACTCTACCCTACCCTACTCTACTCTCCTCTCCTCTACTCTACTCTACTCTACCCTACTCTACTCTACTCTACTCTACTCTACTCTACCCTAACCTACTCTACTCTACCCTACCCTACTCTACTCTACTCTACTCTACTCTACCCTACCCTACTCTACTCTCCTCTCCTCTACTCTACTCTTCTCTACTCTACTCTACCCTAACCTACTCTACCCTACCCTACCCTACCCTACTCTACTCTACCCTACTCTACTCTACACTACTCTACTCTACACTACCCTACCCTACCCTACCCTGCCCTACCCTACTCTACTTCATATGTCATTATTCTTTCACTCCCAACACAGGGAAGAACAACTACTGCTGTAGCCACAGCTGCCCTGGGGCACACTGAAGCCCCATAGGGAAGCTTGGCTACAGTTGTGGTGAACTGGATTACAAATAGAGATTACGAGCCATGGTCTTCATCCTTGGGGTGGAAGTGAAGGAACTGTAGAAACAATACACTGTTGATGTGGTGATGGGGAGGAGGAGGGCTGCGGCACGAGCCGAAGCTATCAGTGTGTAGCACTGTCTGAATGTAGACTGATGCAGCAGGTGACGTGGGTCTGGATCTACAGCCTCAGTCCTGGGTCTACAGCCTCAGTCCTGGGTCTACAGCCTCAGTCCTGGGTCTACAGCTTCAGTCCTGGGTCTACAGCTTCAGTCCTGGGTCTACAGCCTCAGTCCTGGGTCTACAGCCTCAGTCCTGGGTCTACAGACTCAGTCCTGGGTCTACAGTCTAAGTCCTGGGTCTACAGCCTCAGTCCTTGTGATGTTACTGGTCCAGAACAGGTCCATGTTTGTGGATACAGAGGTCAGAGGTCAGAGAGAGTGTTCTGGAGGATT